TGGATGGGCCAGTGCTGTGTAACAGATCAACTGAGGAGGTGGCCTTTGTGCTCTTCAGCACTGCCCTGGTACCACTGGTGAGAGCTCCAGCGCGGTTCCAGTTTATTGTGCTTGAGGCACCTGAGAGCCAGGGGTGGGGCTGCTCCCACTAACAGGTATAAGGGGGGCCCAGTGCATTTTTGCCACCAAAAGCATAAGAAAATTGCTCTCTATTTATAAAGCGTTTCCAGCACCACAGCTGAGAAGCTCCATGCACAAACTGGCTGTCAAACCTGATAGCTCACCTGCCAGGCTGAATACTAAAGGATCCAAGAAGGAGCTGCTGCATCCCCTGTTGAGTAGACCTGCCTATCTCTCTGCTGTCTGTGCAAGAGCGGGGTAGACACCTAAGAGGGAACGGGATGGGGACAGCCCGCTCTCCTGCTGCTTTCCAGGTTTCAGCTGCCTTCTTTAGAGTGTGCTCCACAGGGAATACCAAGAACCACTCCACCAGAGAAAAATACATCCAGGGCTTCTTCCTTTGGGTTTTCAGGGTAGGGATGAAATGGTAAAAAAGGATCATACTAACAGAAACAGCAGAAAGCTGTGCCTTGGTATGGGAAGAGAATGAAAAAAACAGAGAAGAGATTTTTCCCAAAGTAAATCACATCTTTGATGTGTTGTCTTTGGCCATACTTGGAATACCTAACATATGGAGGTGATAGCACATGATCTGAAATAAATCAGAATTTACTTGGTAATTAAGCAGGTGGTCATTAAAGGGGCTATGCTTGGATATCAATGTTCAGAACAGTTCCTAGAATGGGACAGAACATGGACAGTTTCCACTGAAAGTTGGTAGGATTGGCATTACTGAGTCAGGAACTCCAGCCACTCATTTTGCTGTGCTACAACCCCACCACATCACCCATTCGTTCATTGCATGTCTCTGGAGCTGCACAAATAGGCACGTTGGGATACAACAAACAGATTGAGAGGGTGGAGCAAGAGGTACAGGACTTTAGATGGGCAGAGCAGTGGCTGCTCATAAGCAAAGAAAGATGTTTGAGTGCCACCCATCTTCCAAATATGATTGAAGGTTTTCTTTGAAGGTCAGCGGTGTGATCAGTGGAACAGTCTGCTCAGAACCACACAGACTTGTGCACCCCACAGAGCACCTGTGCATGTGGTCATGAGAAGCAGATGCAGGACTGTGAATCTAAAACTGGGCACTCTTTGGGTGCTTTAGAGGATAAATTGTCAGGTTTATAGCAGACTTCTTCTGATCCCTGAAAAGTTATCCCTGTTTGTTTCTGAGCAGGGACTAGGGAGAAGCCAAGCCCCACCGGTACCCTGAAAGGCAAAGACAAAGAAGAGGGAGGTGCTGATGTTTCTTCTACACTTCTGTGAAGCTGAAGTGTTGGATTTGTGCCACTGCCTCCTGTAGCCAGGTGCATGCATTTATCCAAGTGAAGACTTGCACGATTTAGGGTTGTGTGTAAAGGGTGAGGTGATGTCAGGCAAACAGTTTTCCTCATGGTCTGGTGGGAGGTCAGTTTGAGTTTCAGCACCTGTGAAGATGATCCTCAATCCCCTGTACTAGCAGACAGAGCCAGACCTTTGCCAGCAGTGTCATGCTAGCTTGGGAAACAGTTTCTAGACTGTTTGGAGGTTGCCTCCTCCAGTTGACAACCCATCATTTTATAAATGAGAGTTGAATCAGGGTGATGTTTCTTAACAACTGCAACTATTGATCTGAAGGTGCAGACATTACAGCTGTCTTTGAATAAACTAAGCAGAGAATTGTTGCTTTGAACAATGTATTAATGTATTGCCTTTTGTTCCATTGTTAATCCAGCAAATTATTCTCAGGCAAGAAGCCAGGAAAAGGCAGAATCAGTAAAAGATGCTTCAGAAACTGAATATTCTTTGAGCCCTTCCTAAATAGTGGGCAACTTGAAGTTACAGGAAATCAAATTAATTTCCGGTGTAACTTAGGGAAGTCAGGCACATAAACTGGGAAAAAAACTAAAAAAAGGAAGAATAACATTATGAGAAAAGAACAGTTCTGACACAGCCCCTCACCAAGGGATAGGACTGGTAACTGTGGCTTGAATGTTGTTTGAAAGCACCATCAAAGGTAAATTCAAAAGTCTGGAGAATTGTGAGAAGAAATGGATAACCAGCACAGCAAGGGCAGTTACTCTAGGGGCTTTCTGCTTCTTGTATGTGCACACCTGGGGCCTCTAAGGATGGGGGTTGTTTGAGAGGAGATGAAAAGTCATGTCAAGTTGATTTAGCTCCTACAAGTGCTGTTGTTATGTTGCTTAGTCCCTAATCTGTGAGGCAGAGAACAAGAAGCTTGCACTGTTTGCTCAACTGAAAAATGTGGGTTCCCCATCACGACGGAGAATGTATATGATTAAAAGAAACCTATCTTCACGATGAGATCCAGGCTTCTCTTTGACCGTAATATATACTCATAATACCCTGAAACTTAAATCAGTTCTTAATCCTTGATGAAATATTCTTTTTTATGCATTTAATTTCCATTTTGTGGCACAAAGCTGAGTTCTTCAGTGTGTCACACGCTACTGGGACAAGAAACTCAGTACAAAGAGCACCAGATACAGTCATTCCCTGCAGTCTCGTAGAGTTCTATACAAAAAGGTACAAATACTGGAGGTATTAAAGTTGGAAAATTAAATGCAAAGTTCTTTGTTTTTAATTTTGCAATGTTAAGTAGCTCATGCTATATATAATATGTGAGGAAGAAAACAGTCTGCTTTCGAAATGGATGAAGTAGTCTGCAGAGAAAGAAAGAATTAGCAACTGATGAAAGTAAGTGAATAATAAACCAGGCAATAATGCAAAATCTGGACATACATAAAAAGCTTAATCACAATCTATATATAGTTTTTATATCTCAGGAAAATAATGTAACATATTGCTTTCTCGAGGACATCTCCAAGTCTCATAATAGCCTAAATTTGCATGAGAAATCAAGATTCTTTAACAGTTTATTCCTGGCAATAAAGTAAGTTGTCTCATTTGAAATATTCCCATAATCCTCCTTTAAGCAATTCAAAGGTCTCATCTGAAAGGGAATAGGAGCAACATTTCCACCAGTGCCAGGAAGGTGACTGTCACAAGCCAGTAGGAGCACATGCCAAGCACAATGTTCTTCATTAAACTGCACATCCATAACAAGCGGATTTCTGACCACAACAGTTTCCAAGTTTCAATCGCTGGAGAAAGTGGGCAATTAATCCTCTCATCCTTCATTGCTGACCCACTGTTTTATAGAAGTGAAAATGCCCCACTCTTACAAAGAGTGATTGAAGAAGTCTGGTGAAAACAATTGCTCAATCAGCACACCATCTCCTTGCTGAGGCTTTGGAGAGATTCAACTTTTCCTTCAAACTGAAAACATTTTTCTGTAACTTCATTTAATGAGAGATGAAGATTCTCAGCACTTACTGGATTGAGCCCTAGAATAGAGGTTACTTCACAAAATGGCAGGAAGGATGTGCTTCATTCTTCTTTACCAAGATATTTTGAGGGAGCCAAGACAACATCATTTAAATCGAACAATCATTATCCTCATCAGTGAAAAGTTCTCTTAGTCATAAGCAAATATTACAACTGCTGTACAAAGCAATACAATATGATATAATATCCAAAAATATTAAATCCAGGCAGAAGTAGTACAGAAAAAAAGCTACATCTCCTAGAATGGCCAGGGGAATACAACTTGCAAAAAAAGAAAACTAAAAGGAAGCTTGGCAGGTATAACTCTGTGAAAATAAGCATTAAGGACATATGATTGCTGTCTATAAATACAGCATGCATGCAAACACTAAGAAGAAAATGAAATATTTAAGCTAAAGAACAGTGGTGGCATGGGAAAAAACCCAACTGATATAAAGCAGCCATTAATAAAATTATGCTGAAAGTTGCACAAGCCTTGGAAAGCGGCACAGATCTGGAATGCTCTTCCGGAGAATGGGGGAGCAAAAACCTGACTACTTTTGACATGGAGTTAGTTAAGTTTATGAAGGGAATTCCTGTGTACTGTGTAAAGTCATTGTCATGATAATAGGAACATATTAAATTTCAGTACTTTATTTATTTAGTGTCTTTGATCCAAAGCACTTATATAAAAAAGCAATAATGAAAATTCCTTTCAACCAGCACAATAAAAGTTGTAATTCCTTGGGGTATTCCATTTTCTTTAGTAAAACACAATTTGGACACATTCCATTCAATATTTGCAGAAATGACAGAGCATTGGCCCTATGAATAATAATAAATCTAGAACATAAGATAAGCTATAGGTTATTGAAATGATGTGTTGCAAAGTTTGGTTCCAACCTTTGCAATGCCAAACTAGCAACAGCTGAGGGAATAGGTTTACAGGTCTTTTTGAGTAACTGCCCCGAAAGTCATTGGCTTTCAACTCCGGGAATCAACTGCTTGTGAAACTGAGATAAAACCACTGCTTGCAGCTGGATTCTTCAAGGCCCCCAGCCAGCGGACTTAGAGAGAGCTTGCAGTGCCCGTGACATCAGTGCCAGAGTTTGCCACCCTCACAGCATGTAATCCAATGGGAGTGTATGTGCTGCACAAGCCCGTCTCTTCCTTCCCTAGTTTCTTTCATGGTGTGTCAATCCATCAGACAACCTAGTGCTGTGCTGTGTTTTGGATGGGTGTTTATAGGTGTATGATAGCTTACACACATGCAATATGAATCAGGGACAAAACTATTGAATTTGTGCCTGTGACTCAGCAGAGAACTTGAACTTGCCCTCCAGAAATGAAAACACTAGCAAAATGTTTCGAGTTTGGACAACTAGTTTGGGTTATCTAGGTCTACCTTCAGGGCCGTGCAGATGACTCTTTATTTTTTTAGGGTCAGCAAGCCTAAATAAGGGATACTACCTATTCAGATTCTTGCTTTATTTTGCCAGTTGGGCCACTCCTTGTTGCAGTACACAAACACAGGCTTCCAAACATGACAATTTTAGCTTTAGTACTTTAATTTCTCTTCAACCAGTGTGAATTTCTTTTCTAAAGCTCTCTAGTCTTCACAAGGAAAACTGGAAAAAAAGATTAAAAATAATTAATTGGAATATTCTATGTAATAAATGGAGTGAAAAAGCAGCAGGATCTGAAGAGAAATCCTGTTCTGCCCCCAGGGTGACAGTAGTTTGTTTTATATCACAGATGCCTAGAAGTATAAAGAGAGGGAAGCAGTGGTTTCTGCCTGTCGGCCACAAGTGTTTGATCTCTGTACAATTGCATAAGGGAAAAGACTGAGCACTCAGAAAAGAAGTTTATGCAGATTCATGATTACTCTTGGAAGCCCAGATCATCTGCTCTCTCATGTCTTTTTTTTTTTTTTATATAAAGAAAAAAGTACAGGCCAGCCCTTGAAAGGATTTAAATTGTCTGCGTCACAGAAGCAGGTAGGAGGATCTGCCCACAGTGAGTGCAGCATTGAGCTCTTTTTCTTTATCTGTTCCTTTCTTAAGCCCTTGTACTCTTCCTTAGCTGTAAGTTGTGAATTCCTTTCTGAGGGAAAATGTGACTTACAGGGTTGGGTTTTTTTTCCTTAAGAGTTTCCTTGGCAGAGAGCTTAATGGAGTTGTCTGCTATCAACACCTGCTTTCAAGCTTTCCTGATAAAATTAGATTTTATAGCTCAACATCACATATGGCATCTTTATAATTAGTCTTTTTGCAGTATATGAATGTCAGTTCCTAAAATGCTGCCTTACTGTTCATGTGGGAATATTTCGCCTCATTAAACAAATCCAAGATTTTAATTGGAGCTTCTAATTGTTGAAAACCCACGGTTTTGTGTGTCTAATCTCAGAACCATTTTGACAGACTGAAATACAGCGTATCTTCAGCTTCACTGGAACCAAGCTGTGTGCAGATCACTTCCGGAAATGGGAACCTGAGATGTCATGATTGGCCTCCATACCTAGAGTCACTTGTGGAAATGTAGTCTTTCAACACGTAGGTATCTGAAAATGAAGGGTGGGCTTCTTCAGAGGGCTCATTACTGACCTAATCTTGGAAGCAGAGGTAGGTCTTTGCTTAGGAGCTTCTGAAAAATGTTACCATACAAAATATTTCAGAACAAGAACACCCAGTTTTTAACACACATGCTCAAGGGTAAGCAAACTTCCACCGGAAGGTGAAGCTCAGAGGTGTTTTCAGATATGTGACAATCAGAATTACCAGTCAGAAAGATGTGGAAGAGTGTTCCTGTATCAGTAATTCACAGGTGATTGTTTCAAACTGTTATAAAACACATGGAAGTCCTACACTGGTACAGATACCAGTATAGGTGAGGGGTGATGTTTTCATTACTCGAGTCACAACTAAGAATCTTTATTCCACTTCAGTACGTTCATTTCTGTGCTCAGATGAGGAAATGCACAAACCGACAGATCATCACTATACCACCAGCACTAATGTCATGGAAGTGGTAACATTTGTATGGAAAAGTCAGCATTTAGTACCAATGCAACAGGATGAAAATGTGCAAAATGTCAATTTGTAATAGAAATGTCTTTAGTCTCTCAAGTGCAAAGTTAGTGCAGTGTCAGAAACACTATCCTCTAGGAAAAAAAAAAAAAAGACAAATAGGAAAACATTTACAAACATAGCTCTTGATAGCTCTCATGCAAACTGCTGTCAAACTTGTACACTAATGCAGTGAATCATTCAGGCTCAGCTCACTGGGGGTACTCCTGCTCATATTGGTAAGACTGGCCATAAGGGATTTAACTTTATAAGCATAGTAGTCCCTCAAATTGACTGATGGAACTTCTTTCATGCCATCACCAAAATCACAGCTTCTCATGGCACTCTCTAACTGCTTCTGACGCCTATAAAAGTGGGAGAATTTATTGAAGATCAGTGTAATGGGAAGCACTACCACTAGGATACCAGCTAGGATGCATGCAGATGCTGTCAACTTGCCAGCAGTGGTCCCTGGCACAACATCCCCGTAGCCAACTGTGGTCATGCTTACAGTAGCCCACCACCAACAAGCAGGGATGGTGGCTAACCCCTCATTCTCTTCTTTCTCAATGGTGTAAGCCACTACTGAGAAAATGGAGATGCCGACAGAGAGGTAAAGTAGAAGAAGCCCCACCTCTCTGTAGCTATACTTCAGGGTGGCCCCAAGGGACCTGAGACCTGTGGAATGTCTAGCAAGCTTTAAGATGCGGAAGATCCTCATGAGTCTCAGGACTTGTGCAACCCTGCCTAAATTTGCTAAAGTTGGACTACTTTCCACCACCAAGTTGACAATTAAAGTGATATAAAATGGAAGGATAGACATTAGGTCAATCAAATTCAGGGCATGCTTGAAAAACTTTAAAAAGTCAGGAGCTACTGCAAATCTCGCCACCAGTTCGAAAGTGAACCATGCAATACCAAAATGTTCCACGATTTCAAAGCGAGGGTCTTCCTCAGGGTTCCCGTTGCTGTCAACTATCTGAAAGTCTGGGAGGCTGTTCAGGCACATGGTCACGATGGAGCCCAGCACCACCACTATGGAAAGGACACTGAAGATACGGCTTAAGACTGAGTACCCAGGATTATCCAAAGCAAGCCAGAGCTGCCTTCTGATGTTTCCAAATGGTTGTTTATCAAATTTAGAGGCATCATTGTAGAATGCCAAAATCTCATCAAAAGACGACGTGGTGCTTTCCTGGTCACTTTGTTCCTCCCATTTCTCTTGGTCTGGCTCCATTTTCCTCCCATGGTAGCTGTAACTGCAGCAGGAGTCTATAAAGAATTCATTGATTCCCCAGTATTCAATCTCCTGGCTGAAAGAAAACACACAGAGTTCACCCATCACATGGAGCTTGCCGGTGTTATAAAAATGTAGCACGTAAGGAAAGAGCTCGGGGTTCCTGTCAAAATAGAATTCATTCTTGGTGTCATCATAGTCATCACAGAGCTCCAGGATTGACTCCTTTGAGTGGCAGCTCAGCAGTTTGCCCAGCCTGGTCTCGGGGAACCTTAATAATGTGTTGGATCTCATCTTTTTCTTAAAGCCTCCAACGTTGATGCTGATCTCATTGTCTTCAAAATTCGCTTCAGATAAAGCCTTCAGACTCTGCCCTGTCATAGTGAGCTCCTTCCAGAAGTGTACAGGGAATGAAAACCTGGGATGCAATTACACAGTACATCGGCAAGATGAGCAAGTCTACAGCACATTCACATATTGATGCTTTCTTCTCTTTATTTTAATCTTTCTTTCTTTATTTATTTATTTTAATCTTTATTTATTTATTTATTTATTTTAATCTTTCTCTTTCTTTCTTTCTTTCTTTCTTTCTTTCTTTCTTTCTTTCTTTCTTTCTTTCTTTCTTTCTTTCTTTCTTTCTTTCTTTCTTTCTTTCTCTCTTTCTTTCTCTCTTTCTCTCTCTCTTTCTCTCTTTCTCTTCTCTCTTTCTTTTTCTTTCTCTCTTTTTCTCTTTTCTCCTTTATTTCTTTCTCTTTTACTTTTTTCATTTTTTTCTTTTACTTCATTTCTTCCTGTCTTCCCTTTCTCTCTCTTTCTTTCCCTCTTTCCCCATTTTTCTCCCTTTCCTCTCTTTCCTCCCTTCCCCTCTTTTTTCTTATCTCCCACCTCCCACTGAAGACACTGAGGGCGGCTCCTTTGTTCCCGCTGCAGGCTCCAGTCCCTCCCCGTACCTTTCACCTGGGCTGCGGCTCTCTCCTACGACCCCCCCATTACCCACGGCCCTTGTGCGACCGGCTCCACCCGGACCTTTCCATCCTCCCGGACCCACCACACGAACACCCCGCCCCTCGGCTGCCGCCACCCGGGGCAGGGCTCCCCCCCGCGCCGCTCGCCCAGCCGCGCCCCAGCGGCAGGAGCCCCGGCCCTGGCCCCATCTGCCCCGGGGGCGCCACCGCCCCCCGCCCCGCTCGGGCCCCTCGGCGGGGGAGCCGCCCTGCCCCGCCCCGCTCCGCGCCCCGCCGCTCCCGCCCTACCTGCTCTCTCAGCGGCCGCGGCCCCCCGCCGGCGCGCCCTGCTGCCCCCGGCCCCTGCCCGCCATCGCCGCCGCCCGCGGGGGCCGCCAGGGCTCGCCTCGCTGGCGCTGCGGGTGCGGTGCCGGTACCGGTACCGGTGGGCTGCTGGTGGCGGTACCTGTGCGGGTACCGGTGGCTGTGGGGGTGCGGCCCCGCGGTGCTGAACGGACAGCGGCCGCGCGCCGCCCCGCTCAGCGGCGGGAGGCGGCGGCACGCGCACTCGTCATGGCGACGACCCCCGCGGCTGCCGCCCGCCCCGCCGCTCCCACGTGCCCACGGCCAGACCCCGCCGGGCGGTCGGGGGCTGCAGCGCGGAACGGCGGCGCGGAGCCGGGCAGCGGCACGGCGGGAGGGCGGGCGGGTGCCTGGGGGCCGGTGGTCGCGCTGCCCGGCTGAGGAGGGGCGGCCCCGAGGAGCCGGTGCGCCGGCGGTGCCTCCTCTCGCTCGCTCTCGCTCCTGCCCCCGCGCACCGGCGCTGTGCGGGCACGGCAGCGGCGCCGCAAACCGGGGCTTCCTCCCCCCGCGATCCTGCCTCACGCCGGCTCCGAGCGGCACAACTTCCCGAGGGGGGCCGCCCGCCTACAGCCCCGCACCCCGCCCGCCGCCCCCTCACCCTGCCGGCGGCAGCGCAGGCAGGGCCCCGGGTAGGGCTTCCCCCACGCTGTGGGGCCGAGGGGTGCCCCCGCGGGGCTGAAGCCCCGTCAGGCGCGGGGGGGGACTCGTCAGAGCAAGCGGTGCTCGGGAAGCGGCGCTGCGCGCCGGGGCTGCCCGCCGACCCTCCGGTGCCCTCCTCACACGGCCCTGCCCAGCGATGCCGGGAGGAATAATCCCGGCCCTCTGCACCTCGAGCGGAGGGGCCTAGCCGCCCCGCACCGCTGCTCCCGGCGGGGCAGTTTCCGCGCTGGCATGTGGAGTAATGCCTAAATTACATGGTCACCGATGGCAGCGTGTCTGCCCACGCTGGAGGCGGCTGTGAAGAAATCTCCCTCCTCCTGCTGCACCCGGCGTGAGGCCGAGTTTCCCTGGGGTTAAGGCTGGTCATGGCAGCTATGGGAAGTGGTGGCACTCCCTGCATAGGTGCTTTGTACGGGGCTAACCCACATTATGTCCTGCCAGCTGCTTATGACCAGCGCTCACTCATGATCCCACACACGCGGAGTCCAGCTCCTGGAAATGGACTGATGTTGATGCTTTGCAAGATTCGGAGGTGGGGGGGGGGGAACAAAGGCTTGCTTGCTTTCTCCAGCCCTGGCAGAGCATTCCAGCCCTATGCATCCCCTTCGGCTTGTTCCTCAAACAAGCTCCAGATGCTGCCCCTGCATGCTTTTCTTTGGGTGATGCTTGCTTTTGCCTTGCTTTCTTGATGGTGGGTGCCTTCTGCCTCCCTTTCTCCCTGTGGTCCTTCAGTATGGCTCTCCCTTTGTGATGCATGCCCTGGGTCAAGGCTCTGGGTCTCAGTGTATTCACCAGATGACCCGTGGCACCTCACAGGACGTTGGGTCCACACTGAACTATACACACCAGGCTGACCTCCTGGGCAGGGAAAGTGCTGCTGCCTCTCAGTCCTCAAAGCTCTTTTCCTCCTGGGAAGGGGTGCACAGGGGAGAGACACTGCACACAGCAGGGAGAAGGCTTCACAAATGCAGTGGGGACTTGCGCATTTTCCTGTAACAGCAGCTTTTTATCTCCAGAGAGGCAGCTCTCACGCTTCCCACTGGCAGCCTAGCTGTTTGGTTCGTTTGTGACAGCTTCCTCCTCTCAAGGCTCTGCTGGCAAAACACTCACTGAGGATGCTGGCTTTCAGTGCCTGGGGTAAGGGATGCCAGGACACAGGACTGGGAACCTTCACATTGAGATTTCTGAGTTCGATGCCCCCTCCCTGTTCCCCAGGGCTCACAGAACTTCTCTGCTGTGATTTCCCACTCACTGGTAAAACAAAAATCTCTCATGTTCCTTAGTGACGACACTGTTAGAACAAAAATCTCTCATGTTCCTTAGTGACGACACAGGGAATAGTGAGCTGCTGGTGGTGGTGCGTTCAAGTGGTGTCTGTGTGCTTTCACCACCTCTGTGCTACCCCAGGTATCTAGTCAGGGCTTTAAACATATTGAAACATCATCAGAAAATTTGTAAAAAAAAAATTTCATTACTTTTCTGTCTTAGATTAGATATTTTTTCCCTACTGCTGCTTTGGAGGAAACTAAGTGGACATACATTTAGGAGATTTTCAAGCTTTTATACATTGTTCTTACCTTCAAAGCCACTTGGCTGAGAAAAAGGATTGTAGGCAGCCTCATGCTCACCCATCTCTGTTCTTATCTGTACCCTGGAAAAAACACTGGTCACTTTTCCAACCTGTATTTTCTCGTTAAGAGGCACAGTGAAGTTTATGCAGAGATACTGGAGATAAACAGCAAAGTAATCTTGCTGTGTGAGGATACAACTCCCCCTAGTCCAATACAACTGCCTCTGTAATTAGGGCTAATTGGCTCAGCCAGAGAATTTTGCTAATAAGGCTAAATTGGTTCCAGCACCGAAGACAGTAATACAAAATCCACCTGAGTGCTTCCGCACTCTGCTCCACAGATATACAGCAGGTCTGGTGCTGACCTAGTGCTTTTGTCTTGCCCAGCAGTAAGTACAGGATGAATTGTTGTGGATGCACTATTGCTGGTGGAATCCAAGGCAAAAGATCTGCTTTGATATGTCAAAAGGAATCAGATATGTCAATTCTGCACTAAGAGCTTGTGATGTGTCAGATAACAGCAGATTTGGGGATGCACTAATAATAAATCAAATAAACATAAACAAACACTTTGTCTCCACTGCCCTGTGGACACTTCCTAGACCAGGGAGAATGCAGGAGGAGTGCTGGGGTGGGCTGGAAATTAAGGAAGTGTGAAAAATTGCCTGTTGGAGGGGGGAGACAAATGAGTGACTCTTATCACCCTGAGGTGGTGTTACAAAAGCTCAATTAGCTTTAGGTTTGCTAGTTACAGTTGTTGACTCTGAGACTCTGTGAGAGAGAGATGGCTTTCTCTTGGTACGATTTCATTTAAAGAAGATGAGAAGCAGCCAGCACTGTGTAAAAACACTCTTGGTGTGTACAGGTGCCCATCAGGGCTGGTCTGGGTCTGGATACATAAACTAACTGCAGAGTGCTTGACTGTAAACTCTGCTTTGGGCTTGTGGTGACCTGAACTGTGAGGAAACGTGGAATTAGTCATTGTGCTAGTGACTGACTTGAGGTAGGAGGCTGCTGCCTAAGGAGCAGCGTAGTCCAGGTAGTCCTCAGATTAACTCTCCTGTCTGGTCCCTGTTGGCAGTGCCACCACTGCAGCAGCTGCACTACCCTGCAGTGAGTTTAATGCTGCTGAGGGACTCTTTTCCACAGGCATGACAGCTTAGATGTGTTGCCAGCTGTGGAAGAAAACCTGCTATGACTGCTACTACTTCTACAGTGTTAATGAAGTTGGATGTTGAATATGGAGTATAATAATTAATATTGCATGTGATGATCAATATTGAATATAATAATGAAATTTAGTATTAAATAGGGTCTAAAGGAAGATATGGGACCTAAGTCAGTGGTTTTATTGGCACTTCCACGGAATGGTGGATAGATTCACTTTGGACTTGAAGCTGAAGGTGGAACTGCACTCTGAACTTAATATTTGCTGGAAGGTCCCCTTCTGGCCCTGGAGCCAGATTCAAATGTACAGTCTTGTTGACTATCTCCTTTTATTCCAGGTGGATTGGATAATCTTGGAGTCATAATGTGTTAGTTTAAGATCAATAGATACGATCTGTTTTAGTTTGCCAAGCCTTACAGGCTCGGAGTGAAGCTGAGATCCTTTCATGACAGCATTCCTACTGCCTTAAATATTGACTGTGGCCAACTGGTGAATATGTTTAAAAGAAATAAAAATACTTTGCACATAATGCTCGTTTAAATACTGGAAAAGGATGGTTGCAAAATACTGCCAAGTCTAAAAGAATAAGTAAGCTGAAAATGTTTAAACAAATTCGTAAAGGCTATGTCCCTCTCTGGGATATTTATCCAAATGATTTGAGTACAGCCTAAATTTGACAGAACCCTGACTGGGAGAGAATATTGCAGAGGAGGAACCTTTCTAAACATGATTTGTTCTTACCCCTGTCAGCAAGGTAAAGCTGAAATTAGACCTGCTACATGATCTTTCACCTGTTCTCAAACTTCACATAACCACAGGCAGAAGAGAAGTGCCATGAATCTGCTCCTTCTGTAAGTGCCCTGACTGACATGTCTGCTTTTCTTAGGAGACAGAGGCTTTGCACAAGCTCTTGTGGCGTTTGCAATATAAAGCTGGGGAGCGTCAAACACTTTACTAAACTAGAAGTTTACAAGGCAGTGATAGCAGTGTCTGAAAACACAAGAACTTTCTGTTTTCATACTGTGATGGAGTGGAACTCTAGCGGACCACAGAAAAGCCATTTGGCAGCTAAAGAAACTGAACCATGGACTGAACATGAAATAACGTTTAGTTTTGGCTGACAGCAGCGCAACAGAGTGACAAATACTGATCTTCTGTGGTGCACTAGTTGCATGAGCAATGAAATTTTACTGTGATGACTGCACTATTATGCCTTTTGTTGTGAGTTGACCTGCTTAGTCACTGTTATGCTTGCTCTACCTGATTCTAAACTATGAGGGATACATGATAATATTTGCTCTTGGAAGCTCTGCGGGGAGCATTGTCTTCCTTGATTAAACCACCATACCCCAGAGTCATTGAGTGCAAGGGAAAAAAAGATTATTAGATAATTGTGTCTGGTTTAGTATAGGTTGCAGAATTTCAGCCTTCTATCCCCTGCTGATGGCTGAGATGGGTGAAATAAACCACATTACAGACCCCACTGTCAATGTATTAGAGGAGCCTGCAGAGTGTATGCTTACATGAGCATTCTACCTGGGCTTGTGCTTTTGAAGTGACATGCTTGATGAGCTCTCTACCTTGATTTTGTTTATGCTGCCTCTGAGAACTATATTTATTTTGGATGCTAGCATTTTCAGTAGCAATAAGCAATGGGAAGGAAGGGGTTTCAGAACTGT